AACTCAGCTAAGAAAACCAAATCACTACAACGATCAGAACTGGAAGCAGTTTAATCACTCACTCTTAACATCCACTACAGCCATTTGGTCATGACTGGTGGGCTGAAACAGTTTTACATACGCTTTCCTGAATCACTGCATTACACAATCGCATTACTGCATTTAGTTCCCATTAGTCTTTCCATTATTAAATGTAGCTAGAACCTAATTTTGCTGAAGATCTCACACTAAAATCGTGGATATTGTCAGGTCATAGTAAAATTGGATATTGTCAGCTTCCAGGGCCCACAGGTAGGTTTCTGTGGGCATGTACCTTATTTCAAGTTTGCTAGCTTCCAGAAATACTAGGTTGTTGGATTCGGCATCTGGGAGGATTCATGAGATACCACTGACCAACCATAACTATGAGCTGCATTTCACTGAATTTACCAAGAATTTCAGTCAGTTCCATACCATAATGCTTTCTCACAGGCAAAGTTCCCTGAAAAGTCAGGAAATGCACAGCTTCAGGTTATCTCTTTCTTGTTGCTTTCTGCAGAGGTTCTCTCCAGTCTCCCACCCAGTCATGCAGTCTCAGTTCTTCCTTTGTGCCCTGATGCTTGTTAGCTCCTCCTGACTTAACGAACTGAAACAAATGACTGAACTAATTCAACAGAAAGCTATGTATGTTTCTGTCTGGTTATGTTTCTGCTGGGCTACTGAGTTGACTCTGCCATTGAGGATTGGGAGAGAAGGAGCAAAACTCATCAATTACTGCACAAAATAAGGAAAACAGAATCAGAAATGAAGAGGCTCTTTTGGCAGCAGTGAGCTCTTACACTTGAGCACCATCTCCTGTGAAATCATTGCCCAAGAACCCATCTCGTTTTCCTTTGCAGGCTTTAGTCCACGTTCATGTATGTTTAGTTCATAGAAAAGGCCTTAGTTTGTGTGGCTATTAATGTATATGTTCTGTCAGATTACTTCATGGTTATTATAAAGAGCAGTATCTCTGTTTTTTACCATTTGATGGAATTCCCAGGGATGATTCCTGATCTAAGCTTGCATACTAAATTTTCAAGGGAGGCTGTAGATCAGTCTCCTCAGCCTTTTAAAAACAAACCTTCTATTACTTTAACACCAGTGTCCTTCTCACTGCTTATGTGCACATGTGTGTATATCTATGAAAGCTTACAGAATTTATTTAACAGTCACCTTTTTGTACTCAAACACGATAAATGACTTCTTCCTTATTTAACTACAGAATATGAAACCTGAAGCTTCTGAATCTGCATTTTAAAAGATGTATTTTGCTCCTCTTCCTTTTCCATAGTCTCACCTGATGAAGAGAATTACAGCTGTCTCGTGGTGCTTAGCTGCTCCTTTTTCCCTCACTCAGGACCTTTCCTTCTGTCTCTGGTATTTCAGAGGCACTCTTCCATTCTACAGATCCCTTCTGGTATCACATTATGTTCTGGGATGGCAGTTAGGCTTAAATCTTACTTGGAGCTTACAACTATGAGTAGCCTTTAGTGTTAATACAGGAAAATGAACAAAACCCACAAACAGCTTACAGCAGGAGACTGGTGTTTTATGTGATTCATTCTGCCAGCACCCTCTCTAACAACAGGTAGCCTGAGCAAAAATGTTCGAGGAGATGGGCTGCGTTACACAAGCCCCTTAGAAGCTTCTTGTTTTATACAGAACACTAGCAAAGCAAGGCACAAGCTCAGCCTTTCTCTGGAGAGAGTGCTTGCATTCAGATGTGAATGTATGTGGGCCTAACAAAAGGTCAGACATGATCAACCTGGCTGGAACTTTCTGGCGACCAGGCTGTACATTTTAAAATTACCTCCACTCAACATTTTTAACCCTTTTTTTCTTCAGATTACATTTTCATGAAGATGGAAAAATATATCCCTGAATCTAAAGCAATTTATTTGCCAAATCTGAAAGCTGTTTTTCCAAACCAGAGAGATGCTAGAAGCTGTTCAGTTGAAAGGGTTATGTTTATAATGGACAAAACCGTGTATTCTCCTCTAAATTCATCCTTGTAGCTGGCTTGAATGTTGTAAATGGAACTTTCCAAAAACAAAGCAAACAAATCATAATACAAAACAAAACAACCAAAACAAGTTAAAATAAAACAGCTGGAAGCAGACACCCAACAGGGGAAATTTCAACTCAGACTGGCAGTTATGAACAGCTGAAAACTAGAATAGAAAGCATTTAGCAACATTAACACTAGCTTTGCTGATAGCTGTTATATCACCCTCTTAGAACTGAGGGGGTTGATTTATCATGCTACTAATTTAGTGAATTCTCCTCCCATTAAAAACCTCCCTCAGCAGCCTACCTGTGCTGTAAAATACAGCAAACACTACACATCTGACATGTTTCAGTAACAGCTGAGGAAAAACAATACCAAATACTTTTCACAATTACAAATGGAAGAGAATGCAACAAGCAGCATATAATCACATTAATTCAAATTTAGCCCAGACTTCAGGGTTATCCAGTGTACTTTAGAGAGGAGTATTTGAATCAGTAACCACAACTGGTCATTATCCTAGAGGTGCCAAGACACTGTATTTGTTTCACTTTGGAGCCCCCTCAAATAGAATTGCATGGGTTTGCTCCTTTTAATCCATTGTTTATTTTACTGCACTTTTCAAGAGCCACAAGTCTCAGAATACTTCATAAAGAAATCCAAGATTTCTGGATCTGCTTATGAACAAGTTTATGAATCTGCTTTTGGTTTGCATTTTGGAGCCATCCTGCCCTCAAGCGTCCTATGTTTGTTTTCCAAATTTGCTGTACCTTCACTCTTCCTTCCCACAGACGCTAGTGAGATAAGGAGAGCGGTTCCATTTTCCACCTAACAGACAGACTTGGACAGCTCACATGGAGTGGGTTTGTGTCACAGCAGTTAAAAGCTAACAGAAAAAACAAATGGAACGTTATGAGTGGAAATTAAGTATGTTAACCCTAATGAGAATGCTGATTTGCTTTCCAGCAAGGTCTTGGAGCGGAAAACTCCCACACCTTTAAGCAAAGAAATCTAAAGGAAACACAAGATTTTGGCAGGGATTTTCAAATGACCCCTGAAGAAGGCAGGTATCCAAGTCCCATCACACGGCATTGTGTGTCTCTCCCTGTTGTGGCCATGTTTATGCTCAGCCTGTTTGTGGGGACAAGGGAAGCGTGAGGAATGTCACAGGCAGGCACCCCCCAACTGCCACTGAAGGACACGTCCTGCACCGGTCAAGAGCAGCTCACTTGAGAGAAAGCTGAAAAAATACTGCAAAGCGTGACAAGATACAGACAAAAATAGCTTGTAGTGGAATAGCTCCAGCAAACAGGCCTAGCAGACAGTAAGTCAAGGCGTTAAAATAACCACATCAGTCAGTTTCATAGATTAGCTAAGTGTGAAGTGTCTGAATCTTGGGGTTTGAGCCTGTTGGTTTTCCCCAACAAACAGATAACATCATGTGTCTGCTCACCCAACTTCATGCTGGCAACTCTCCAAGTTTCAAAGATGCAGGCAAGTAGGAGAAGAACCGCCGGGTGTGAGGGGCAGTGGGCAGAGGGGTGCCTGGCACAGCAAGGAGTGCCTGTCACCCCGGCCTCTGGGGTGGTGCTGGCAAGAGACCCTTGCCCAGCCCCTGCCCAGGCCTCCACGGGATGCGCATCCTTTGGGGTCAAGCAGTTCTGCAGACATGACTCTTTCTCGTTCATGAGTTCTTCCATACCCAACATGGCAGCACAAGGTTTTTGAGGCTTAGGAGTCTATAAAATAAGCCACGGGCCTTCCCGCTGCCCGTGGAGCCCTGGCAGACGAGCCGCCTGAGGGCGGTTCGAGGAGTCTCAAGAGACACCAACCCCGGAGCTGGGCCCTGCCGCTGAGGAGCCCCAACAAACACTGTACAAAGCCCCACTGCCCTGCGCCAGCACGGCCGTGTCTCCCCATCTCCCGTCTCGGCCGAGGGCACAAAGCGCCGCTCCCCCCGCCCGAGGGAGGACGGCCGGGCCGGCCGCGCTCGGCCTCGGCCCGCCCGCCTAGGCCACGAAGGCCCGGTGGGTCCAAGGCCGGGCTTTGAGCCTGGCCCCTGCCTCTGCAGACGTACTTTTCGGGGGTGCCATGGCTCCTAAAGCCACCCGTCTGCCGAGGTGTGGGGGGGCGGCCCTCACTGTGAGTTGCTCTTTCTAATATTAAAGGTTTGACGTGAAGTGCTGAGTGTGTGCTCTTTCCTGCCGCCCTTTTAACACTGTGATCAAGGACACACCTGCTCAGTTAGAAAGAGAGATGCCCTCAAGTATACACGTAATTTGGGAGGAGGGGAAAGGTGTATCCCACCATCTGGTAGGAGAGAGGCCATAGTGCTGTTGGGCTGCGAACCACTGCCACTCGTGCTTTTACACAGCACAACAGGGGAAGTAAGGATCAGTATTACGGTAACTTAACTGCTCATTGGAGAACAGAAGCATAACTTAGGACAGTGCTTTAAAATCTAAAGGTGAAACAAAAGGGGCACAGAGAGAGACAGGATAAAGCTTCTGTATGTATGGCTTCCCAAAGACAGCCTAGGTTTCTACCTCGAAGCTTCGGGTAGACTCTGAAAATTCCTATTCTTGCCTGGTGTTTCAGGGCCTGTGACATTCTGCCCAAAGTACACCAAGTACCACCTGGTTGCAAGGGAACTAACATGTGTGCTCAGAAGACCTGTATGTATCCATAGCATATGCCCAGATCAGCCATATGGCACAAATGCAACAAAACTGGGTAGTGTTGATCTTTTTGCTTGCATCCATGTATTTTTGACTGGGAAAACTGTGAGCCACATACATCCCCTAAATCCCAATTTCCCCTAATGGAAATACGGTATACCTAGATACCAAGGTGTAAGCAAGGGCAGCAGTTAGTGAAAAAATGATACAATAGCCGATAGACACATCTTCACCTTTTGAATATTTTGACACAGTATTCAAGCATGACTTAGAAAAGTGTTGTGTTATTTAGAACACTTCAAGTAATGATTTTTTTTTTTTTCCAGGAGGAAGGAATCTGTTTGTCTTCAGCTGCAAAGTGTTTTCTTTTCCAGAGTTGGGACCATGGCTATTGACTGGATTGGTTTTGCATATGCTGCACTGCTGGCTGTTGGAGGTGTTGTAGGCTACACTCGTAAAGGTAAACACTGTATGGCAGGATTTGGAAATGAAGCATTGTATAAAAAAAAAATTGATGCAAGACATGAAACCTTTGCGATAATGAACACAACAGTATCTTAAATCCATCCCGCACTGCTATAAATGAGCTGAGTCTCATGAGGCTTACTTGGGCTAACTTAAGCATTTAAGTGGTCACTTTTTTCCATTAATCTAACTGATGAGTTTGTTTTCAGGTCAAAAAGGGGCTGTCACATAATCTTTGACTTTCAGTGTATTTTGAGCCTGCTCTTTTCCTTTAATAATTCCTATGTTAAGCACAGTAGAAGATCCTTGATTAAACCTTTTTTGCCATGGAGGCACCATCCAGGCTTGATTCTGAGATTTCCAGATACCCACTGGAAAGAAAACCCTTTACTTACGTATTCTGATTTGGTGGTTAATTATCTCCTACTGTTGGAACTGTACATCTTCACTCTAAGCTAATCAGAGAGGCTTTAGGTTATCGTGTGCCATAACACATATTTCAGTCGTGTTTGCTGTCCTTCCCAGCCAGCCGTGCCCTGCCCAGGCTGGGCACAGTGTCCTGGCAGAGCTCGCAGTGGCACTGAGGATGGGCAGGCGCGATCTCCAGGCTGGTCCCCCTTAGCAGAGCACACACCCCAGCAGCGCATCAGTCTCCTTCACTGTGGCCATTATTCCTCAATTCTTGTGATTTAGGGTCACTTTCCCTGTGTAGTGTGCACATGCTTTACTCTTACAGGCTTTATATCTGACTTCCTGAAAACACTGGCTGTATTTTTTGTTTGCACCCAGCTGCACTCACTGACTATCCCATTCGCTTCTTCTCTACACTCTTTAAAGGTTGGTCAGTCCTTGTCGCAAATCTAATGATTTTTTTAATTGGTAATGATTTCTGTTTTCTCGCAAATTCTTGATTAAAATATTCAGTATAACAGGACTGGGAGCTAAATGACATCTGAGAACCTGGATTCTTAATTTATAAACATGTTGGGATCAGCTTAATCCAGATAGTGCCTGCTCTGCTGGTTTTTATCATATGGTATTGAGTCAAATACCTGTTCAGAAACCTAAGTATATTACTGAAACTCTGGGCTTTATGAACCAGTTTTGTAATAGCACCAAAAGAAGATATCAAGTTACATTCAAAAGCTGTCTTTTCATCCTCATTGCCATCTAATTGTTTTTTAATTCCTTATTGTGATGTTGGTAATACCGTTTCCTTGTCCAGGAGTGATGTTACATTGAAAGGCTTATGACTACTGTGTTGTCCAATTTATCCTTTATATATATTGACACATTTCTACCATTTTTAGAGACTCCCAAGTGCTGTAAGATATAGTTAAAATCAGCAGACAGTCCAGAGAAATTACCAAAATGCTTCTAAAGGTACAGATGGTAGAGAAAATAGCCAAATGTAGGTTTGTGCTTCAAAGATCATTTTTCCCAAATTTCAGGTGTTACTGCATCCTGATCATCTCCCTCTGATTTAGCCAGCGTTCCCCCTAATGCCATGCAAGCCCAGTTACAGAAATATTACCTCTCTATTCACAGTGTATGAGCTAGCTGCACTGTGACAAAATCAGTTCTATTTTTAAAATACTGGGATAATACTGTGTAGAGAGAGGACTACTGTGTAAAGACTGAGCTTAAAGACATTGTATTAAGAAATAACACTTGAATGATTTCTTGCAGGCAGTAAAATGTCTTTAGCTGCTGGTCTCACCTTTGGTTCTGTGGCTGGTTATGGAGCTTACTGTGTAACACGTGATCCAAGAAATGTGAAGATATCATTGTGTAAGTGTTTTACTATGGTAATCAATCAAACAAACAAAAGCAGTTTCCCAAACTGCATGCAAAATTCTCTCCTATTAAATTTTGAGTACTGCTTTGGTTTAAATGTTAGTTTTTAAATAGAGTTCAGCGCTTCAATTTAGTTTGCAAAGTTCAAGAGCTTAACTGTGGAACCTTTTGCAAGGTAAGGCAGATCATCACACAAAGCCAGCAGGTGTGTGTTACTACCTGGCAGCACCTCCTTTTAATTAGATGGTTACCTGACACTGCAAAATATCGTGAAATCCAGCTGGGAAATGTGGGAGAGTGATGGAAGAAAATAATTAGTGCTACAGATTAGAATGTAATTTGAGAAGAAAAGTAGGTGTGACATCCAGTCTTGTATAACGTATCATCTCCCAGTGAACCAAGTAGTTTGACTTAGTGATTTTCCTTTGCTGCAGCATACAAGCTATGCAGTGATTGTCACGTTAGCTAGTTTGCCATGAAACCCTCATGGAGACAAGGACCTGCAGTCTCTAAGGGGGACATTAACCTCCCACAACTGGTTTGCAGTAAGAGCTGTTGGGAGCTTGTCTCACTCACGGTTTTAGCAAAGGTGGGTTGGGCTGCGGTTTCACATGCAGAAAAGCAATTAAAATACATTTAATCCAGATTGTGTGAGTACACGACCGCTTTTTCTAAACTTAGTTTGAACTTATGGTATACTGTTCATGTTGCTTTGTGCTTTACACCAGCCACAGTTGTAAAAATTTCCATTTCATAAAAATGTTGACTAGAAGTGTTAGCAAAGTATATTCCCACCAAGTTTAGTAAAGGTGGTAATGGCATATCTGATCTGCTAGATGGCCTAAAATTGGATAGTCCAGTTTTGTCACCATGACCTTGCTCAGATTAAGTTATCCCACTGTTAAAAAAAAAAAAATACAACCTTTTTTTGGAATGAAAACATAGCCTTAAGTATATCTAAATTTTTAATCATTCAGTGTGAGGTGGTTTTAAACAGCATACAGTATTGTACTTTTATGGGTCAAATCACTAATTTGGATATAGAATTTGTGGAAAAGAAGACTGATTAAAACTTACTAAATGTTGACTGTTTCCCAATTCCCTGGTTTTGAACAGACTAACACAAAATTTCCACTAATCTACTTGCAAATGTCAGATATACTAAAATTGTTAGTGTTGTGCATTTCATATAGCTATTGGTATGTGAGAACTTTCTCTCAACTGGAGAAATGTATACTACTAATTTAGTAGAAGGTTAGAGCAATACAGATGAGGTAGCATTCACTGCACCTGCCTTAGAAAGTTCTTATTATGTAGAGTAAAAGGAGCAAAGACTTTTTTAAGCAGTCTGAGTTTAGAATGTTTACAAAGTAATTTTCTGATTGCTTAAAACCTAAACATATATTTAACTTCGGCTGTGAGTGTGTGACCCCTTCAGGGTCCACCTGTGATGAATGAAGAAAAGGTGGTTTGAGCTAACTGGTAATTTTTGCTGTGAGTTAGGAAGTATTCATACAAAGTACTCTGCCAGGGCCAACCGTTCAGGCTGGTTTTAATCTCATCCAGGCTGATGTATCTCAGTCTGGAAGACAGTGTCTTCTGGCTTCTGTATGCTTATGTATCTTAAATGAAGAACAACTCAGTAGGAAGACTTCAGAGGAAGGGAGAATTAGACACACTCGGAAACACCTACAGGTCCACACCTTAAAAATCTTAGGTGGCTACTCTATCTGCTGCTTTCTGAATACTAAGGGATTTCCATAGTAAATTGTACTGCTTTTGTAGAAAATCAGAATGTTTTCACTTATGCCTAACCTCCTGAAGCGCCAAAAGCAACTAGAGGACAAACGAAAGAAGGAAATTAAGTGCATGGAAGAAAGTGACCATTCTGAACTTAGAAACCAGTAAATTGCAGTGTAAAATGAATCAAGTACTCAAATTTCTAAAAGGTTAGGAAATTTAAAAGAAAAATTCCTTTCCAAACCCATTATTATCTATAGTATTTGTCACCTACACAAGTCTCCTACAATAATGTAGATAATGTTTTAATACAAGACTTTTGATAGTAGGGTTCTTATAACTTGTCCTACACACAAAGAATATGTAGCATACAGACACCCAGGCAAATTGTCTTAGTTGTTTTATACATTATTCTTTGTTTTATAAATTATTCTTTGTTTTATAAATTATTCTTTCAGGCATTTTTTCTTTCAGGCAAAACTCTGTGTTTCCTCGAATAATGCAATTTTATGTGTTTGGAGTAGGTGTAAAAATTCAGACTTCAGTATGCACCAGTTAGTGCTATACAGAGTGCAAGCTGATGCAGCTGATTTAATGAATGTCTGATATGAATCTGATTTACTGAATTGAATTTGGCTTGGTTTATTTAGTTTCTTTGACTGATTTAAGTTGAAACAGTGAATATCTAGCACTTCTGAAAATCAGGTCTAAAAGTTGAATGTCTTAAAAACTCACTTGGCACATGTGAAAAGCCAGATACTAGTAACTGAAAAAAATAACATTAGAGTGAACATGTTTTGTAGCTTGTGATTAATTGTAAATATACTCAGGGCTCTGACAGGACGCATACTGTGAAATAGTCCACTCTTCAGACATTCCTGAGAGGATCAAGGCTATGGAACCAGAAAATAAGAGCAACGGATAATGGCGCATAATAGTAGCTTTTTTGCATGGTATCTTTAATGAGTGCACATGTGTAGCTGGTGGAGTTTTGTAAGATGCTTGTAACTGTCAGAACTTGTTTTATAATGCTGGAGTGAGTTTAAAACTAATTCTTGACACCTATGAGCACAGGACTGTCCACAGGAGTAGACAGTGGAGTTTGAAGAGAATTAGCCAGAGGGTTAAACACTCCATAAAAAACGGAAGAGGTTTGTGTAACTGCTATCACTTTGGCTGCAAGAGTGGTAAAGCCCAGCTGCCCATGAGAAGGCCTGGCTCTCCACCCATTTCTAAGAAGTATTTCAGGTGACGGTTCTTTAACAAAGCTGTCTTTGCAGAGTTTTACGTCTTCTCATCAATTTTCTCATTCATATAGTGCTCTGCAGCCACAGTTCAATATGAAACCCCCATGCCTGATCAGTTTATTGCTACCTCCATTTTTAGGTAAAATTGCTCTAGCAAGAAAATGCCGTTTCTTTCATGAAGTTTGTTCTCTGCTGCTTGCACTACATTTGTTGCCCTCTGGGGCTGGCCACCTCTTGTCACAGACAAGGATGGTTCCCTCATAGCAAAAGGAAACAAGGGAACTTGTGATACTCATGAGGACGTTGATAGCCATATTCTGTAGTGAAAACAAGTGGCAAACCTTTCAATCTATTTTTTAAGGCTCAACAAATAAAGAGCTAGCATTCTAAAAAGAAAACAGATAAAGTTGGATGCTCTAGCTCCTTGAATAGTTAGAAAACACCTGCAGTGATCTAGCGTGGTGGGATTCATGTGACACAGTTTTTGTAATCCAGCATACATGTTACTGTTACGATGAAGATTCTTCCTACTTTATTTGTATCTCCCTGAGTGTAGATATGGGGGAGTAGAATCCACTGTCTGACAAACTTACTTAGTATCTGTGGAATAGGATTTAGCATTCTGCTGCATGTGGAAACCTTATTCATAGCTGAAAGAAATCACAACAGTGTGTTTTGGAAAAGCAAGAATGTTTTTATAGACCCTATCTCTGATCTGATGTTTTGTTAAATTACAGTTCATAGCAAAACATAGCAATGACCTTTGATAACTCTCCATGTTCCTGAATGGTCCACTGGGAGAAGTGAGAACATAAATATATTGAATTGTGTTTTACAGTTTCAGCTTTTCTTTTGACCATTATAATGGGATTGAGGTTCAAGAGGTCCAAGAAATTAATGCCAGCCGGACTAGTAGCATGCCTGAGGTAAACATATTGAGGATCTTAATGTAAAGATTTCACTGATTTTTCAAATAATTGCCATTTGACATCTGATTCAAGCCAGTATCAGTGGAAATTACTATCCTTCAGCAACTGTGTGGTTTAAGTGAAATTAGTTTGGAGGTCACAGTCCTATTTCCAGTGAACAGCTTTTTCATCTCACTAGGCGGATACATCTGATATGGACTGACTTTCTCAGCACAGAAAGGAGAGATCTGCAGTTAAATATTAATGCATATTGATAAGGCTCTTGGAAGAACCTGAGGTAAGCCTCAGTGTTTTCAAACACATATGCATTAGTCATCTAATTTCATACAACACAAGTCATCTTAGAAAAGACCAACACTTTGGTTTAGAAGTGCTGCATCCAAAACTACTGAAAGTGCAGCACCTTTGAAAACTAGAACATTTTTGAGCTGACCTAAAAACTTTGGTCAGTATTACTGCAATTTATGATGTTTCTAACCATTCTGGCTGCTTTATTGCTGCTGTTTATTTTGGCATTCTGGAAAACATAAGTTTTCATACTTGTTATTTTGGAATTAAATTATGGAGTAAGTTGAAACTTTTTTTCCCAGTGAGTCTGTACCTTAGAACATTTTTCAATTGTAAGTCAGAACCTCCATCTTCTGAAGGAATAACTGTTGCTTTGTTGTTACCAGATTCAATATAACACCATTAATTCTTTTATTCCAATTACGTACAGGAAGGAAAGAAAATCAGATGCAAATTGTCAATGCAAAATCAGATGCAAAATTTAAGAATCAGGACTTAAACTGGAAAATGTTATTTCCTTTGTGGATTACTTTTCAAGCCTAGGTGGACTGTGTGTTTCAACAGACACTGAGGCTGTACATTTAGAGTTTAAGATTGCTTACTAGGAGCTCTAGTGTCAGGTATTTATGAATGTGCTGTTATTTAATGATGACTTACACTGGTTTTGTTCATGTACAACCATATTTATGGGGTTTGTTCTGTTGTTTTTTTTTTTTTTTTGCAGCCTTTTGATGATTTTGAGGCTTGTTTTCATGCTGCTGTAGTAGAATTTAGAGGTTTAAGAACCGAAGTATGACTGCCACACCCACTGAACAAAGAGGCAAGTTCTCCATACTAGAAAGACAAGTTTGAACACGTCTTAAATTGCATTTTTCTTTTCCGTAGAAGATCTGTACCTGTTATTTGATAATTGACATTTGCTGATATTTTGAAAGCTTTTTTTTGTTCTTTAAAATAAAGAGTTTTGTTGATGATTTATTTTTATAAACTTCCATTTAAGTTGTCTGTTAACTCAAGGGATCTTTCTCTGTAAGTTTGATCTCTTTCAGGGGTGCTGAGCGCTCCAAGAAATTGAGTTAGTCTTGCACTGTATTTCTGAAATAAGAGTATATATAAATACATGATTATGCTAAAAAGGTATATTGTATTGAACCATAATTTTGTAGCTTCTGAGATTAAGTAATCAATTCTAATCATATTGTCAAATACTAATCAATAAAGGCTTGGGCCAGTATGTGTTGCACTGGAAAACCCACCTTCCTTTCAAACACACATTCTTGTTTCATTGGTTTTAAATGTAAAAACTATTATCAGTGTTCAAATAGAATGTAAAATGTTCAAAGCTTCTCAATTTTTTACACAGACTAGTAGGCTGTTTTGTCAGTGGAAGAGTCTGGTGATCTGCTTTGTACTCAGTACCTGTTTAAAACATGTACCACACTGTAAATTCCCACTGACATGAGCCATAGCTGAGGAAGGTTCACCATCTTGCACAAACAGCTCCTAAACTCTGTATCTAACAGGTTTGCCATTGTGGTCTTACACAGATTATCTTGCTGAAGTCCTCACCATAAGCAGAGTAGACTGTTCAAACATGAACTGTTCAGGGGTTGAAGTTGCTTCGGTTTGTGTAGGAAATAATTAAATATTCCCTGGGTCTCAAAACTCGGCTAAAACCATCTTCTGATGCACAGGAATGTGCAGCCAAATTATTAAGAAACTGAATATGGGTGAGTGCACTATTGAAGACAAAGGGAAAAATTGCTTTATTTTTTTCATACAGAGCTTGCTTATAAAGGATATCATATATCAGATCTCAGTGGAATACCAAGCTTATTGCTCTGGTCAGGGCCTTTAGGTGGTGACAGAGTGGTGTGAGCAGCTCAGATGATTAAGGCACAACTGACCAAAAAAGAGAAAAAAAGGCAAAAAAAACCCCACCAACCCCAAACCACAGCCTCCTGCCCTGGAATCTTCTGCTAACAAATGTTGGCATCAGTCACCTGCAGGTGTTGCCAGGCTTACAGGTGACTGAGCTGGTGTGTTACAGATTTCAGATTGGGATGACAGCTGGACACATCAGATGTGGTTCATTTCATCCTGAAGTGGAACTTCAAGGCCCATCAGAAGGATTGAACTGCCATGTACCGTAACAGGCTTGGGTGGGCAACACTGATTTGGGTATTTGTACCATAGACAAGATGAATCCTGCCTTAGATTAAGGTCCAATGAAAAATTTAGGCAACCTAGTGCTGAAATGCAGAAGCCAGCCTGCAGCTGCTGCCACCCCAGATCCTAAGTGCAGTAAGACATTACATTTTTAAGCACGTCTGAAGTTGAACCTTCTGTGCATTCTCTGAACTACACCATGGGAGCAGGGGGCTGGGGCTAGCCTCCAAGTCCAGCCATAATCCAGAACCTTTAGCTGAACTTCCCAAGCACCCAAACAAGTGGCCTTCTCAGCAAGTCCAACATACCCCTGTGGGACTGAGGGCTCACAAAATGCAAAGGTGATGTCCTATGCCGTTCTCTGTGATGGTTCAGCACTCATCTAGAACAGAGGTATAGCTCAATGAAACTTCAGCACTACGGTGGGCACAGCAAACTACTGCTTTCACCTACCTTGGTAATTTTAATGTAAAACTTAGGAGTTCACCTGGGCAGTGCCTAAGTGATTGGGGCGTTTCAGGTTTGTACCTCAAGATGCAGTATGTGGCTCTTCTTATGCACAGATCAGAAAAGGAGTTAACTTTGCTGGGCAGCAGTTCTGTATATATACTGGTTGACTTGTTTTCTCTCCCTAATCAGTTCGAGTCCTACTAAGGAAAACTAACTGCAAAAAAGAAGAACAGTTAGTGGCACTGTTTTTAAAGGAAACAGTGATGGTTCCCATGAAATTAGCATAATGAATCTGAAATAGTGTGGAGGAATGGCTGGAAAACAACGGACATATTATGAGCGATCCAGACCGAGTGGCCTCACTGTAACAACAGGCTGTGGCTGTTGTGAAGAACACCTGCAAGGCCAAGGGATTGAGAAACTGTGTGCACAGCAAAAAGATAAGGAAGCTGGACTGTTCAAAACAAGATGTTTGCCTAGCAGGAGTACGGCGCATGGACACCACACCAGGACCAATCATAGAGGGCAAAAGGGCATGTGGACAAGTAGCTTAGGCCTATTAGCAATCAAGTAGCTGCGTGTGTACTTTATGGTAGTCTATAAATTGCTGTGTATCCTTTAATAAACAGGCATTGCTTGATCACATTGGTCGTGTGCATGTTCACCTCTCCCGCAAAATAGTAGTGAATGCTTTAAGCACTGTTGAGATAAAACTAACTCTTTTACCGAAAAGGTAAGCAGCCAGTGCAGTTCTCTTTACAACTACTCAGGAAGTGACTGGAGAAGGTAAAACAGTTTTCCTCACTGTAACCATCTAGCTAAGCAGCAAAAAGAAGAGCAAGGGAATAGGTGCTTTCACAATGGATGAAAGCCACATCAGCCCAATTAAACACAAGGTCTTTGATCTTTCACTGAACAAAATCCCTTCCAAGAGATTCATGTGGGGATTAAACAGATTTTTTACTTTTGCCCCTAAATTTACAAGGATCATGAGTTTTAACTTTAATTTTTATTTATTTAATTTTTAAACTGCAGCTCTGAAAGTACAGACACAGCAGTGACACTGCAGGGGGACAGTAAACTTTAATCTAGGAGTCACCTAGAGAGCAAACCCAAAAGATTCTAGGCTCAAAGTAAATGACCTTCCCATTTTTATGGAGTGGCTCTTCTTTCCTGCAGTGTATAAAAGGGGTGGGTGTGGGGGGTGTGGAGGGGGCTTTCTACAGTACTCTGGAATCTACAGCTGAAACATGTTACCCTACCAGGCATGTACTGTAATTACACAAACACAAAGTATCAGCATATTTATTTCACGTAACTGCTCCATGGAATACCACTTTCTGGACTCAACAAGTCCAAATTAGCCTTTGACTCTAATTTAAAACTGTATCCTACTTCAACCATTATCATGTCACTGGCTCTAGGATGCAAGCTACAGAATACATCTATGCAGTTTACACTTAGAAGGCACAGCTCTGGTAATATACTACAGTTGTGTTATCTTCAGCAAACATGATCAGATATTGAATATTTTCCTCACAATGGCAACAAACTTCTCATCTGTTGGTGGCTTCCTCTGGCTGCCAGGCTGCAAGAATTTTTTGATTGTTGGAATGTTGCTTGTTCTTCCTTTAAAAGCCTGTAAGAAGCAGCAGTAAAGCCAATGAGAGTAAGGAAATTATAATTCAATCCTTTATAGCTTAAAAATCAGGTGACTTAGATTTTTACTTCTCAAACATACTTACTCAACAGAGAAAGGTAATAGCTCCTTATAGTCAGCTCAGCACTCAGCATTTTCCATTAAAAAAAAAGCAAAAATACACCAACTACATTATTAGTCCTCTTGGAAAATCCAGATGTGAATATTCTGATGTACAATGCTGGTGCTATAAATTCTACCTTAGTTTCCCAGATGGGGATGAGAGAAATTAATATTAAAGAGTTAAGATTCATTTAGTAAAGATGGAAGGGAAAAAAAAAAAAAGCAAAAACGACAGCGTGAATCCAAATTCTACAAATATATTCAGGAAAAAAAAAAGAGGCAAGGACAGAAATACCTCAGTGCAAAGCACCATGGAAGACAAGACATAAGAAACTTAGCAACTCTTGTATATGATTTCTTCAAAATATAATTTTGCTACCAAAATGAAGGACAGGAACAGCAGACACAACAGGCTGCCTACTTCCCCTCCTGATGCTCTCTGCTGTATTTGAAGACATAGAAGTAGCAGTTATAAACTGGTAGCGTTAGTAAGTGAATTCCTGCCAGCTGAGAACAGCTGGGAAAAGTAGAGCTGGAGAAAAGCAAGACCCCAGCAGCTCTGCAGGCAGGACAGCATGCCTGTGTTCAGGTTGTAGTCAACAGAAGTAGAGTGGAGAACTGTCAGTAACACAGTACAATGGTTCAAAAGATTTAAACATCGCTTAGCTTTTAAAACTGGGCAGTGAAATTTTTGTTACCTTCCATACTGAGATCAGATGATTACTAACCTGTAGCAGAGGGAATGCAGACAGGATATCAGGCTTACATTCTTCTGCCATTAAAATGGCTTCCAGCAGATGGATGTCTGCCCAGCTTAATTTGTTACCAACAAGATAATCGTGTCCATGGTCTTTTAAGGCCTACAAAATATGAACGAATAAAAAAAGTCATATAGGATGTAACAATTTTAATTATTTAGATATTTCATTACAGACAAATTTTTACAAAAAGACACAGCAGAGCAAATCCATGCAAGAACCTATAAAGTTAGAAAGAGATAGATATTCTCTCATGGAAAAAATTAAATCAGAACTCATGTTTCAGTGTGCATGAACCTATTGCTCATTCTAACCTACTGCATCAGGTAGCTGTAGCAAGTCCAGTACCACAAGAAAGACTTAAGTCATACAAAAGAAACAGGACTAAAGTAACTGGAAGAGGTAGTCAGAACAGTTTACCTGTAGCATACTTTGATTTTTTTTTTTTAAAAGTGAACTCCCAGATGTTTCAGCAAAATTTGACATTGTTGATTATAGTTTGAAATAGGTTAGGTATGAAGGAACACAGCCTTTCCACCCTTCAACCTGTATGGAAGCATTCTTTCATGGCAAACAGCTGATGCAAGAATCACAGCCTGCCAAAGCTACTGATAGCTGTAATAAGTAAGTTGTGGTGACTGTTGCAGCACAGCTTCAGAGCAGTTACCAGCTCTCCAGCCTACATTTTTCCTGAAGACTATCACTCTTGTAGCAGGAGCAACAGAAGGAAACATGTCTGGACCCAAGCTACTCTAATGCTACACTTAACTAACAAATGTGCACTAAAACTAGGATATCAGTCTGTGACTTTGGAAGCTGATTCCTTCTCCAGTCCTATCTGCCAATTTTACTATAAAAGAGGCAGTAACCTCTGACAGGCAAAGCTGATACCTTTATGTAGTCCACCACAGCTTGTCTACCAAAGCCATATGGAAACACCCAAACAGAGCATCAGAGCCAGCTGCCTAAAGTGCTTTATATCACCTTTTGCCACTCTACCTGCCTGCTGAGTGTTTGAAGTAAACACTCATAGCTAGGGATATTTTCTGTCAGTATTGTGTAAAACATGGACTGCAAAATCTGCTCAGATGAGCCAACAGACAAACAGCTGCTAGGAAAATTACTAATCATTCTAACAAAATTAACTAGGCTAAAAATTACAGTAAAGTTTAGCTGCGTCTTTACCATAAGTGAACAAAGTTTATTTTAAAAGCTTTCCTCTAGTGAGCATACACACTAAAACATATCATAACAGTAGTTTATACCACCTAAGCACAGGTTCGGAGAATACTGGTGTCTACATTTTTTATTTTTTAGTAGCTTAAATACTTACATTATCAGACATCAAATATTTGAAACATTAATGTGTGCAATTAAGCTTTCTCAGCACAGCCTTCCACTGGTATGACAGTGGATCTATATGAACTCTGATTACAGAAGTGCTGACTTACATTGTTCATGGGCAATTTTTTTTCACAGTTGCAGCCTCTGTGGGTTTTGCTTGTGCAATTTAAGGCTCTGATAAAGAGGCACATGAAATTGCATCAAGTCCCGTATTTTTTTAATAGATTTCAGCTGCCTGTGAACCAAGGATTCAAGCTAGAAACCCGGCTCAGTCCTGAAACAACAACACAGCTGTTTACTCTTGGCACAGACTTCCGAGGACACTGCTATGCCCTGAAAAAGCGCTGTGCGAAAATCTGTGCAGTACAACCATACAAGGTACAAAAAGGTAAAGTTACAAACAGAAGGAGAGTGAGATGAGGAGCACAGCTGGCTGAATTA